CCTTCTCTTCACCCATGCACGCTCTCTGACGTACTATGAGCTGACTGCCATCTGCCGTCCATTAATAGCTGCCTAACTGTTATACGTGGTGAGCACGAGCTAGTCTGGCACGTGTGGAATGCATCTGGTGTGTAGAGTAGGAAGGATTCTTTCAACAACGCATGTTTTAAAGTTAAACCTACGTTTAGCATGAAACCTGGCATGTTCATGCAGTATCATATTTCCGCGCAAGAGGGCGGTAAATGTCAATAACACTTAATGGCCTAATTATGAAAAAATTACACTTAGTATTAACGTACAATTCACGAATTATTACCTTTAGCTAGAAATCACGCAAACACAGGCACACAAAGATTGTAAGGTTATAACCTTTGTCCGAAAGTTCAAAACGCATGTGTGAAATTACAATCTATGCCCGAACACGTGGAACGTGTGAATTTGGGGCATCTAGATCAACATAAGTCTCCTACAGCTTGTTTTCACAGCCTTACAACCACATCAGTAAACGGAAATGATGCATATTAAACATTATCGACTTCAGTATATATATATATATTGTTACGTCTCTGTTCTCGTTTGTTAATTTTCCGTAGAAATTCTTTCCGAGAAACTTCAGCCGATATAAGTCCTTTCTTAAATAAAACTAGTTTATTCTTTCTCAATTCAACTTTGCAATACACTTAATTTCCACAGTCACTTTAACTTAAACACACGCTTTAATTCACAACGATTCACGAACTTTACTTACGGTCGCTACCTCTCACTTGACTCGATTAACTGTGTTTATATCTTCAATCTCTCTATTTGCTATTCCAATTCCAATTAATTGTCTCGCTTTATTTGCCGCGCTTATATACAAGAATAGAGGGCGTCTAGAATGCACTAGCCTTCTAGATACTCATCACGTGTTACCAGGGTCACGTGACTTCCGCTGTCGTAACACTATATATTTATAACCTAAGCGGATATACAGAATTCAGATGTGTCTTATGATGATTCAATTCCAAAATACTTTTTGATCGGAAACAACGACAAAAAAAGGCATTTTTAAAACATTTAAACACATCTGTGGTGAAAAGCTATAACGCTTCTTCCCAGGGCCGGTATTTTGATCTTTAATAGACCAGGGAGGTTCAGGTACTAAAGAGCTCCTCCTCCTTGTTCGTGCCGTGGTTTAAGGTCGGGTGAATGTCTGTGTTGATACAACATGAGGGTCGACGTAAACCGCACTTATTCCGATCCATTTCAGGCCACTGTCCATGAAGGTACCATCATTAATATTCCTGTGTTGCACATAACTAATGTTCGCTATTGTAACTGTCTTACACTAGTATGAACAGTTCCAGATATGGCTATATCACATTTCACTTTTTAAAACCATAATAGACACATTTCACATAAATACCCTGTCGACGCTAAAAACGTGTTTGTTTGAATTTCGCGTAAAGCTACACGAAGGCTATCTGCGCTAGCCGTCCCTAATTATTTTAGCAGTGAAAGACTAGAGGGAAGGCAGCTAGTCATCACCACCCACCGCCAACTCT